TTCGACAATCTCATTTGATTTCTTTATTGAATTAACTTTAATTATCGTTTAGAGAAAAATAACTTAATTAAACGAGAATATCTCAAATCCAAACCCTCGACACGCGAAAACCTGGTATCAAATTGTTAAAAGAATTATGAAAAGATGAGAAACTTAAAAATTAAAGATCGTGTCAATACTCGTTTGTTCCCTTATGTGCTTACATATCAGAACGGAATCGACTTATAAATTTCAAAATAATTTAATATACTACTCACTATCCACACACACTGCACAGCTTCTCAGGTGTTTTTGAGTTTCGTAAGTAGTAGTACTAAATTCTAGAGAGATAACATTTTTTATTTATTTTGAGAACAGTAAATATTGTTTTTATTTATTTATTTTTCACCATGGACGGTACTAAGTACAAAGTGGTAACCCCTTGGGAAGAAAAAAAAACAAAAGAGGTCAAAAAACAACTACAAAATTATAAAAAAAGAAAAAGGTAAAAAAAGAAGGAATATATGGTAATGTTATATAGTTTTTTAATATATTTTTCCTTGAGATTTTTTTTTTTACCTTGGGAAATTAAGGAAAATTAGAAAAAAGGAAAAAAAAAACTCCAAAATTTTTTATTAGGACTTATCCTTAAAGAGAGAAGCCAATCCGGTGACGACGGCCTTCACTTCTCTCTCCACCGGCGGGAATGCCACGTCATTATCTCCGTCAACAACAGACGGAAGAGGAGAGGAGGAAGAATCAATAACCACCGGAGACAAAGATTTCTCCTCGAAAATCAGCTCAAGCTCTTCACAATCCACCTCAGGCTCCGCCGCGGCCACCGGAGCTGGCGGCTCTTCGACGTTTCCGGAGGCAACGACGGAGGCTCGAATGTAATTAGATAGCCATTTAGATCGCATGTACTCAGCTTTCCTCCACGGAGGCAAATGCATTCCTTTCTTCTTCAAGCTCTGTCTCGCCGCCTCAGATATCAACGACACGATCTGGCTTAACCGATCGGATTTTCCGACGAAGATGAACGGTAGAGATTGAAGTAACGCCTTGTAACCACTTGTTTGTCTCGCTATATCGAACTCTGATCGGAAATCAACATCGATTAGCATCCTTTCTTCTCCAACAATCACATCTATGTACTCATATTCACCTGAAATTCCGAGATTGGTTTTAAATCAGTCACACAGATTTCGTGAAGAGTCAAAAATTCTGGAGAGAGAGAGAGAGATGTTTACCAGCTGGGAATGAGGGAGATTTTTCCCATTTCGATTTGCAGATTGATGAATCGTAATTGAGAGATAAGAGTCCTTCGTTGACGATCTTCCTCATATCGTCTTTCCTCTTGACGGATTTGTTCTTATCTACAATCTTCGCCGCGTCGGCTAACAGGTTCCTCTCGGCGACGGTGGTGCACGGGATCAAGCTCTGATTGTAGATCGAAAATAACAATTCCGATTAAGCTTTTTTGATGATAATAGAGAAAGAGAAAAAGGTGTGTTGTGTTGTATAGTACCTTGAGATGATCAGAAGCGTCGCAAGGAGATCCGCCGTTGATAGAATCAGTTAAACCACCGAACAGATCTAATTCATCGTCGGAGGAACTATCGTTGTTTCCGTTGAAGCAATTGCAACGGTTGCGTCCACATTTCGCTTGCTTCTCATTGTTTTCCTCTATAAAATTCTGAACCATCTTCGCTAAACAAACGGAACTCGGCTCGAACTCAGTCACGGCGTTTCCATCTCGGTTGCACTGAACTACTACTTCACCACCGGCGACGACGGCGAATGGTTTCTCGGTGGTTGCGCTTCTTGTGAACGGACGATCAAACAAACGCTTGAGACGAGATTTAAGCACCGGTTTGCCTGACTCAGCTCGAGCTACGGCTGGTGAATCGATATCAATCGGCTGGATCTTCATCGTAAATGGCATCGCTGAAGATCTAACTTCTCTCTCTCTCTCTTCACGGTCCAAGTCAATTCTCGTTCAAAGAAGGTAGACACAGAAAAATTCAAATTCTCTCTCAAAGAACTTGACGAATTTTGTTCTCAATTTACACTCAGACGCGTACAAGCATCTCAGATCTCGCCAGGGAAAAAAAAAAAAAATTCCAAAATTGGTATCTCCACGGATTCAAAAACAACAGAATAAGAAGAAGAATCTACCAAAACCTCTCAGCTAAAACCAGAAGAAAGAAACCTCTACACAGTCTTCTGAAATCAGCGGATCATCTTCACAAAAAC